GAAGTATTAATTTTAAATATTTTTTTTGTAAGCAAAAATAAAAATAAAAAACTGTGTTTTTAATTATCTTTTGTAAATTTAGGTAGATTACTTGCTCAATAAATATTTAATATGTTTTTGAATTAAATTAAACTGATAAGTAAAAATAAAAAAATTATTTTTAAAAATTTATGTAGCTTCAAATTCTCTCAAAAAATAGTAGAGTCAGTCATGTTAACATTTATATAATTTATAAACAAAAATAAAATAATTTTATAATAATAACAATAATAATAATATAAAATAGACAATTTAATTAATTAAAAAGTAAAGAAAATCCCCTACTAATCCCCATGAATCCCCAATTTTTTATCTTTTTGCGATACAAATTAATTTTTATCAAATGATAATTTCCATTAGTTTTCTTTCTTTAAGTATAATATCCATTAAATATTCCATTCTTTAATTTTATTATATATCTACTTTTATCTTTTTTCGGATCCAATTTAGGATATTAATAAATTCCTTATTATGTATCTATCTACAACAGTAACCTACCTAATTTCCATTAATATTTTTATAAATAATAAAATTATCTGTATCTAAAAATTTGAATTAAAATTGAGGAATAATAAAATTTAAAATTTAAGCTACAATTTAATGAGGTTTCAAATGATATTTAATTACAACAATATAATGTTAAATTTCTTATGTTCCTGATAAAAATATAGGTGTTATTACATATCTAAGTTAATTATAAGGTATTTTTTTATTTTTTTCTAATAATATACTAAGTTTATTTTCTTCATCAGCATAACATTCATCATATTATTGTGTTGAAAATAATTTTAAATTTCCCTCAACATAATTTATTCGCGCTCATTTAATTATTTCTCCAGATTTGATTGTCTGTCCTGCTATTCGCGCTCATTTAATTATTTCTTCAGATTTAATTGTCTGTGCTCCTTGAAAAATAATTATTTTTTTAATTATTTTATTTCTGATTCATATGTGTGCCTTGAAAATGAATTATTTTATTATTATTATTTATTTCTGATTTAAAATTAGATAAATTATTTTATTTTTTATTTATAAATGTAAACAATTTTAACTCTGAAATCTCTACAAACAAATAAATTTCTTATTCGCTCATTTAATTATTTCTTCAGATTTAATTGTCTGTGCGACATTGAAATTTATTTATTTTTTTATTATTATTTATTTCTGATTTAAAATTAGATAAATTATTTTATTTTTTATTTATAAATTGATACAATTTTAACTCTGAAATCTTTACAAACAAATAAATTCTGAGCATCAAATTAAATAAGATCAAATTAATTCTTCCTATTTATTCGCGCTCATTTAATTATTCCGTTTCACTACAAAATTTATTCGCGCTCATTTAATTATTCCGTTTCACTACAAAATTTATTCGCGCTCATTTAATTATTCCGTTTCACTACAAAATTTATTCGCGCTCATTTAATTATTTCTTCAGACATAATTAAGTGCGGAAATAGAGAATATTTAATTATTTTTTTTATTCTTTTTTCTGATTTAAAATTGGAATAAATAATTAGGTGATAAAAAAATAGATATTGAGTGAAAATAAATTATGTAGTGCAACGGAATAATTTATTTGAACGAATAGTTGGAATTGAAATGAATAATTAGGTGATAAAAAAATAGATATTGAGTGAAAATTAATTATTCCGTTGCACTACATAATTTATTTGAACAAATAGTTAGAATTGGAATGAATAATTAGGTGATAAAAAAGTAGATATTGAGTGAAAATAAATTATGTAGTGCAACGAAATAATTTATTTGAACGAATAGTTGGAATTAAAATGAATAATTAGATAAAAAAAATAGATATTGAGTGAAAATAAATTATTCCATTGCACTACATAATTTATTTGAACAAATAGTTAGAATTGGAATGAATAATTAGGTGATAAAAAAATAGATATTGAGTGAAAATAAATTATTCCGTTGCACTACATAATTTATTTGAACGAATCAAATTATATAGAGCAACAGAATAATTTATTTGAACTGAATAGTTGGAATTGAGGTGGAAAAAAATTGAAAAATATAATTCAGAAAAAAGATAAAAATAATATATTCAAAAATCAATTAAAATAAAGAATAAAGCATAATGTAAAACAACATACATAGTAAAAGGATTCTTATAATTTTTAGGAAACTAAAAACAAGAAATATATGATCTAAATCACAAACATATAAACAAATAAACACTATAATTAAATAAGTAATTCATAGATTACTATCCATTCGAAGATGAAGAAGAAGAAAGAAAATTATGGGACAAAACAAAGAAAATGTTCAATTACGGTTATTATATCTTACGTTTTTACAATTAATAAATCTATATAATATAATAGGATAAAATATACTAAACCATGACTATGGATAAAATTGAATACAACGATCATGAATAAGATTTTGTTTTAAAAATAATGTAAATAAATAAATAAACCAGTTAAATAATCTTGCTAAGATATACAATTATTTATATCATAAGCCGTCAATTACTTCAATATGTGCATAAAATTGGGACATATTGAAAAATAGAAAAGAAAACTAACTTTTCATTTCAATAAAAAAAGAATGAAAAAAGAAGAAAAAGAAGAAAAAGAATAGTAAGTAGAATAGTAAGTAGAATAAAAAATACAATAAGTTTCTAATTAAGAACTTGTTTTTAAAAAACCATAAGGTAGGCCTTAATATTCTAATAATACGACAATGAAATAATAATAAGATGAAAAAATACTTTAAAGTGAAACTTCACCCTAGTGTACGGATTAACGTATTCTTGAACTTGGCATGAAAGTGTATAGTACGAATACACCTATCATAAAAACAACTAGAATAAATGCACTTAATATGGATACATATACCATTAATCCTGAATCCTAAATTATGTTTAGTATGTTTAGAAACAAACAATATCCTGTAATCGAAAGTAAAGATTTTTCAGGGGTAGCTATAAAGCCTAGATTACCTATATCAAGTTAAGGTCAAATTCCAGAATTTAAATTCTAAGAAATAAATATGGAAGAAATAATTGATAATCTTAATGAATGCTTTTTAATTAAATAACAGTTATCTGAAGGAAGTAAATAAACATTGTATGAATATCTCTATTAAAAAAAAATAAGTTGTGTATAATAGATTAAACATATTCTAAAA